ATAAATTATAATATATAATTTTATATATTACATAACTTATATATAACATTCGTGAGGCTGCTCAGGAGTAGTGGGCTGGTAGCAGAATGTGTTGTCTGCAAGGCAGCGTTAATTTGTGCAGGAAGACCTTCAGGATGGACGGTCTTCTAAACAAGCCTAGTCCAGCCCCTGGATGCTCAGCCCAGTCCAGCCTCTCATGCTGCTGAATATCAGGCCTTAGGGCCCCTGGTCCCACAGGGAGAAGAGTGTTTGGCAGGGAAGGAAGGAGACTGGAATGGATTCTGCTCCCTGCGGGGAGCTGTAAGGGACAGGCCGGGAACTGGGGCACAGGCAGCACAGGGATGAAGAGCAACCAGTTACCTTGCCAGTGACATGGTCTACAGCCACGGTGGGAGTGTGGCCCGAGGGCAGGTCTGGGTTCAAGGGGTCCGTGCCCTGGGGCATGGGGCAGTCCTTGTGGGCACTTGTGAACAGGTCTGGAAATAAGAGCAAGAGGAGGAACTCAGCAAAGCCCAGCCCTCTCTTGCTTACAAGGCATGTTCAAGGCCCCCCCATAAGATGGGTGTGGCCTTATTTTTATCCAGCATCATTGTAGAGGAAGCTGACTCAAGTCCACAGCAGGGGAGGGGTCCAGCCAGATGCCCTCCTGCCTGTGCCCCTCAGCGGGAATCACTGGCCTCATCTTCATTTTACCCCCTTTTCGCAATTTCTAGGACCCACACTCCAGCATGTTTTTGGCCTCGTGGAGATGTTTAATCCATTTGCCCTGGTATTTCCCGACTAGCTCCTCTTTTGCTCCTGGCCCAGCTGACCCTCCAGCACGGCCTCTGAGCTGTCTCTCGCAGACGCCCTTACCTCTCACCCGGGTTTGAGTCTGACCCTCTTGCCCTGTGCCTGGATCTGAAGAGCTAAATGTTGCTGGAGAGAGTGACTGCCACGTGCTAGATTGTAGCCCCAGCCTCCTGTGGGATGCTGCCCGGATCCTTCCCTGTTTCTCCATTTCCTGCTGCCTTTGTTTCCTGCCAGGCTGACAACTTCACCCCAATCTTCCTTCTCAGATATGAAACACACTCCCTCCCCTACCCCACACACTGCTGGGGGCTTCTGCCCCCACTCACTGGGTCCAGGATCCTTGGAAAGGTTTCACCTGGATCATTCCCACCCAAATCACCAGAGCCTGCCTGCACCTTTGCCCACATCGTCACCTTTCCCTCCTGCAACGAAGGAAGAGCTGTTCCTGCTGCACCCAAGACCTTCTGGCGCATCCACCCAGGGCTGGGTCCTGCCCCTGCCCTCCCCTCAGGGGCTCTGCTCTCCCTCCTGCGGAGTCACTGCTCTCCACTCCGTCCGCCTTGAAGCATTCAGCCAGCACGGCATATGCTGCCATGCTTCTTGGGCTCTGGATGTTCTCCCGCATTCTCACTCCTCTGTCCCCTTACCACTGGGTGGGGCCATCAGCATCCCAGCATCTCCTGTCTTTTGAGAAGCTTGTGACCACTGTTTCCCTCCAGCGACTTAGCCGTTCCTTTGCTCCCTTCTCGCCGGATGTGCAGAGAGCTGTGTCCCACCTCTACTTCCTCGTCCTCCAGTTCTCCTCCACCCATTCCAAGCAGGCTTTCATGAGGCAGCCCTTGCCAAGCTGCCAGGAACCTCCATGGGGCCAACTCCAGTGGGGGCCGCTCCAGCCTCTTCTTGGAGCTAGAGCTGTGCAGCCTGCCTGCCCTCTTGAGCCTCGCTCTCATCCTGGCCTCCGGCCTCTCTGGCTGCTGTCCTGGGTCCCCTCTGTGGCTCCTCCCTGGCTCACCCCTGCCCATTGGCTGGCACCACACTTCCGTCCTGGCCCTTCACCACCCTCTCTCCCCAGGAGGCCTCACCTTCGTGTTTCCGCTGCCCACTGCCCATGTGCACACCTCCAGCCCTGACTCCTCACTTGAGCTCCCAACTGAGTTTCCAGCTCTCTACATGGATGCCCAAGGGGCACCTCAAGCACACCTGGACAAAAGAGGACTCCCAAATCCGGGTCTACCTTCCCCCGGTCCCCCACTGCACCAACTACAACCCTAGGAGTTCCTCAGGGTCCTGCCTTCCCCCATTCTCCCGGGGACCACCCAGTAAACCGGCAAATCCTATTAGCCCTCTCCTAGGTCTATCCCAGGTCTCCCCGCTCCCTTCTCCCAGGGCTCCCCTGCTGCAGGCATCCTCCCTCCCTGGAAGACAATGGTCCCTGCGCTCACTCTCTGCCCGCCAGCGGAGGGACTTTATGCTCTAGGCCAGATTGTGTCACTGGGGTTAGGGGACCATGTGGGTGCTGTCCCCAATTCCCCTGGATTCCTTTTTCTTGTTTTTGCCCCCATGCCCTGCATGGCTTCTAAGAGGCACCACCTGTGGCTCTTTTACAGGGGCTGCCCTAGGTAAATTTCTGTTGGCCCCACCTGGAGCAGCCCCAAGCCAATGACTGCCAGGTGCAGGACTCCTTTGTCTGGGATCAGAAAATTCCCCTTCACTTACCCTCCAGAGTACCCTGCAGGATGAGGCCTGAGGCCAGGCCTGAGACCACCCCACTGCCTGGTTGGCCTCCTCTATCCTCCTCTCGCTCCGTTCCCTACTGGCTTCGTCTGGAAGGTTCACCTCATATCAGTTGTACCCAAATCCTCATTTCAGGAGCAGCTTCTGAGGAGCTGCTCCAAAGCTCTCCGAGTCAGGGCCTGGAGCCAGACTGTCCTGTCCAAATCCCAGCTCCACCCTTACCACCTACGAGACCTGAGCAAGTGCCTTCCCCTCACCCATTTCCTCATCTGTAGAGTGGGCCATTGAAGGAGACTGTTCTTGTTCTTCAGGAATTGTCTAGTGGGATCCAAAACTGAGAACATGGAAGCCTTGAAGCCCCTGTGTTTCCAAGCAAACCACTGTCGCCAGTGGGGAGGGAGATGACCCCATCTCTAATGTGGCCGAAACGGGCTCTGCAACCCCAGCCATCAACCATCCTTCTGACTCCAACCAACCACATCTCCCCACATGCTAACAGGAGGTTCCCAGAGGATCACGTGCAGAAATGTGGGATGCCTGCAGAGGCAGATGTGGCCCCAGTTAAATGTCTCTATAATCAGTGAGAGACAGCAGGCGGGGTAGGTGGGGGCGAGGTGGGCCGGGAAGCAGCCAGCCCTCCAGCTTGTGCTATGGCAAGGATCGTGAGATGTTCAAAGCAAAGCAGGCAACTAGGAAGGAGTCCTGGCTAGGCCTCACTGGGACCGCTAAGAGGGTTGCTTGCAGGGTGAGGGGACCACAGCCCCCATGCTGCAGGGGGAGCACTTTAGGAGGAGAGGGAAGTTGGGCAGGGAGTGGAAGAGGTCAAGCCAGGTCAGGCCTCCCATGACAGGGGCTCTATAGTCAGCAGCCCCCACCCCCCCACACCCAGATGGCTCCCCAGAGAACTCACACATGCTAAGCTGGGAGATCCAGGCCCCCCCATTCCACCTCACCCCCACCACTGTCCCCTGTCACTCCCCTCTGGCCACCCTGATCCCTCTCCTGGGGCGTCCTCAGAGCTGCCCAGCCACACCTGCCTCAGGGCCTCTGCACTGGCCGTCTCCTCCCCACGCCCAGAGCTCCCTCCTCCCAGACACCCAGGGGTTCACTCCCTCACTCCACACAGCTCTCTGTTCCAATGCTGGGACCTCAGCGAGGCCTCCCCCAATGGTCTGATTTACAGCCGACCCTTTCTCGGTCCCCATCCTGTTTGGGACATAGCTCCCATCTCCCTCCTCATCGCGGGTGTCCATCTCATTCATTGAGTCTCACTAGGATATGAGCTCTGCAAGGGCTGGGCCCTTGTCTGTTTCCTTCACCACAGCCACCTCAGCACCTGCCATAGGGCCTGGCACACATAGACACTCATTGCATATTTGGGTAAGAAGGAAGGCATGAATATTTGGGTGCCTGCCACACAGACGTCTCAACAGTGAGCTGGTGTTGGTCAAGGGAGACCCTAAAGCCCCTGATAAAATAACCATGTCTTGACCCTTTCTCTGAAATCCCTCATGCCACACCCCAGCATGCCAGAGGAAAAAGGAATGCCAAGAGGGGATAGAGGTCGGCAGGGTAGAGATCCCACTGTGGCCCGCAGGTCACCAGCCCTAGCTGGCAGGGGAAGGTGGGCATTCAGTTGAAGGTGAGATTAAGGATTCCTTTTATTTTCTTTTCCCTTCCTTCCTTCCTTCCTTCCTTCCTTCCTTCCTTCCTTCCTTCCTTTTTTCCTTCCTTCCTTCCTTCCTTCTTCTCCTTCTCCTTTCTTTCTTTTCTTTCTTTCTTTCCTTTCTTTCTTTCTCTTTCTTTCTTTCTTTTTTTCTTTCTTTCTTTCTTTTTTTTTTTTTGACAGAATCTCGCTCTGTCACCCAGGCTGGAGTGCAGTGGCGCAATCTCGGCTCACTCTAACCTCTGTCTCCCAGGTTCAAGAGATTCTCCTGCCTCAGCCTCCCGAGTAGCTGGGATTATAGGCACTCACCACCACACCCAGCTCATTTTTGTATTTTTAGTAGAGACAGGGTTTCACCATGTTGGCCTGGCTGGGCTCGAACTCCTGACCTCAAGTGATCCGCCCACCTTGGCCTCCCAAAGTGCTGGGATTACAGGTGTGAGCCACCGCGCCCAGCCTGAGATTAAAGTTTTCATCCCAACTGGATTAGATTTAGTTTGCAAAAGAGACCATAGGTTTCTGGGATCTACCCAAAGGTAAGCAGGTGAGCTAGTCAGGGAAGCTGGAGGCAGAGACTGGAGCCAAGGAAAGATCTTATTGAGCACTCCATCCATGACCCAGGCAGGCCTAAGGAGGTGAGAGGCCTAAGGAGGAGATCCCACCCCATGGGGTCACGTGGGCTGAGCCATGTGCCTGCACACCATAGCACTCAGCTCATCTTGTTCTTTTTCCTGAGTCCCTGCTGTGTGACTCTGAGCTAGTCCTGCCCTTCTCTGGGCTCCAGGGCCTCCATTTCTACAAAGGCCATGTTGTCCAGGCCCTTCAAAGGCAATGTTCAAACTAGGGGTGCATCTTTCAGTGGGTCATGCAGCCATTTATTGATTAGGCCTTATTTACTGGAATAGAATGGAAAATATCAGAGCCCACTGCAAGTCACGTTAAGTATCACTTTACGAAGCTTCTGTTTATGCAGACACAAGTCTGTGCAGATGTGTGTGCACAACACACACACACACTCACAGTAAAAATTTTCTGGGTCATGATGCAAAATATATTATTCCTATGGCTCCAGTCAAAAAAGTTTGCAAGTTGCCAATCTTGAGGTTCTGGAAATTCTGCACGTCTTGGACAAGCCAGGGCCCGCCAAGGTACAGACAGGTGGTACTGGCCATAGGCTGACCCCGGGAACTTGAGAGGCGTTAGGGTATTTCTAGGACCCCTGGCCACCCCCTGAAGCTTTTTTACAACTCTCCAGCCACAGACCAGGGAGCAAGGTTGATGGGGAGGGGAGCCGGGCACGGAGGAGGCTGATGGTGCTGCCAAAGCCTGGCAGAGGCATGACTTGAACAAGGTCATTCGTTGAGATGGTTGTGGGCTTGGAGGACTCCTGGCTCCCACCCACTCCCCAGTCCGCCTGGCTCCCCACCTCAGTTGGGGTTCGGGTGTCTCCGCCAAAGCTGCCTGCTCCCCCTGAGGACTTTGGCCCCGTGATGTCACAGGCTGGTTGCCATGGGGACGTCAGGTAATGAACCAGCCCAGGGTGAAATCACAGGCTATTCTTCGCCCAGCTGGGACTGGTGGCCACGTCACCACTGGCAACTGGAAAAACACAGAGTGTCATGTGGCGTGGGGGCTGGGAGGCAGCCCGAGGGGACCGCTAGCACCTGCTCCTGTGGCTCCCTCTCCCAGAAGGACACCTCCTTTCTTTCAGTCCACATCCTACTCTCCTGACCTCAAGGTCAGAGATCCCTTCTCAGACCTGCTCCCTCCCCCACCTCCTCTGTCCACAAGAGTGACAGGCTTCTGGTTGCCATGGCAACCTGAAGAGTGCCATCTTGATCCTTCAAGGAGAGGGTGTCAACCAGATGTCTCCTCCA